ATAGCTCACAGCAAACTCAAAGTCTTGTGCTCAAGCAATTCTCTTGCCTCAGCCTCCCACGTAGCTGGGATTACAGGTGCCTGCCACACTGTCTGGCAATTTTTTTTTGATCGTAGTTTTCATTGTTGTTTGGCAGACCTGGGCTGAATTCAAATCCACCTGCTCCGGTATATGTGGCTGGTGCCCTAACCACTGAGCAACAGGTACCAAGCCAGGGGACTTTCATTTTCTATGTTCAAAGTATGTATATCAGATGATAAATTATACGTATTTTCCAAAAATTTTTAAAATTTCTATGAAGTTCAATGTTTTAATAAGACACATGTCATCTTAAAAGTAAAAACCACATAAAATTGAAACAAATGTAATGAGGCTCCCATGCCAGTACCTTTTTGGTCATGCAAGTAGAAAGGGAAAAATATCTAGCTCTGACACTTCCCAGGGACCGTGGTTGGTCCAGCTTAAGGAATTCCATGAACCAGAAAGCCCAGGGTTGAGAAATGAGTGCTAATGCCCAGACAGCCAGGAGCCTGACCCAAGAGCAGTCAGATTGGGCATCTCACCAAAGTGCTCCCTAATTCTAGGCCAGAAAGGGGCAGTCCTAGGCTCTTCTCAGATACTCTCTCTCCATCCCCAACAATCTGGGGTTTTGGTAAGAGGTAGGGAGTGAGCAAAACAGACAGAAAGCCTGACATACAGACATGCATGTGCAGACAGAAACAGATACACACACACACTTCGTGCACAGATACCTACAGAGGGACATGCAAACATGCTTGCCTGCACACAAACCCTGGGAGGTACCAAAGGATTATACAGTTGCTGAGATACATAAAGAAAGACATAAAAAGAAAGAACCTGAGAGACTGGAAAGGAAGAAGGACGGAGACAAAGCCTGTGCATTCCTTCTAGGTAACATTCCTTCGGGATATACACATAGATCTAAGTCCCACTCTGACCTCCACCTCAGTGGGAGCTTGGGTAAATTATGCTGCCTCAGTTTCTACTGCAAAAGAGGGCTAACCATCCTGATCTCAGGGGGATGGTGTCAGACCATGTGGGAGAATACTGACCTGACTGCTTCTAGTCTTTTATATACACAGGCCAGTGACCCAGCCACACTCAGGGCAGAGGTCAGGATCCAGGTGCTAGGCAATGCAGGGTGAGGTAAAGGGTACTCACGGATAGCAGAGGAACAGGAGGTTCAGGAAGGAGTAGGTCCTGAAGAGGTGGATGAGGGATCGGCATAGGCTCCAGCCTGTTGCCGTGAGAACGGTGAATCGGGTGAGGAACAGCAGGATGGATCGAAAGAGGGAGACCTTCCCCCTCTGAGAAGCCTGGGTCAGGGCGAGATAGGATGGGGTGGGGCCTTGGATGGAGGCCACAGGGGTTGTGCCCAAATCCCACCCAGCATGGCCTATGATCCCACCCAGGGAAAGGTAGCACAGCAGGCTGGGCAGAACCTGGCAAGGTGACTCCTTTCTGATGCCCAGGAAACTCCAAAGTCGATGGGATGTGATTAATGTTCTTCAACTGAGTCCAAAGGGAGCCCCAAGGATATATCTCAGGGTTGAGGGGCTGGGCATGGCTCCCCAGCACCCCCAGGGAAAAAGGGAGCCCCAAAGTCTCTGGCCAGCCTCTATGACCCAATCACCTCCTTCACGATGGACCCAATGAAGCGGCGGCCCAGAACAATGGTGGTCACCATCAGCAAGTTGAAGTCGATCAGGTGGAAGTTCTGTCAGGGGGCAGAGGCCTGGGGGTCACGTGGGCCCCTTGCCCATACTCAGGCTTTTCTCATACCCACCTCCCCCTGCCCAGTCCTTTCCACAGAGACTGTCCCCATTCTCTGACCTTCATCTGCCTCCAGCTGAGTCAGGCCAGGAATTACCTAGAGGAGTAGAACAGAACCCAGAGAAGGGAAGTGGGACAGTCCCTGGGGATAAGAGAGTGGTGTGTGAGCCCTCCTGCTCTGATCACCCATGCCCCTGCCCCTGTACCTATTCTCCTACCCCTTGAAACAGTCATGTATACCTGTGGTTCATCTCCCCTACAGGGAGATGCCATGAGCTGAGCTCCTTAGGCAAAATCTGTGTTAGATTCATCTCTGCAACCCTTCAATCTCCAGTGTAGTACTAAGCACATTAGGAGCATTCAGAAATCATCGGTTTCCTGTTCCTTCTACACCTTCCATGCTCAGCACAGGGCCAAGTACACAGTGGTTGGTAAGACTATGCTAAACTGAAACCAAATGTTTCTATCAATCTCTGTCTCTCTGTCTCTCTCTCTCTCTCACACACACACACACACACACACACAGAGCTAGCCCTGGCCAGGCACCTACCAGGGAGGTGTGGGAGGGTGGGTGGGAAGGTGGATACCACCACACTGTCTTGTAGATGTTGATATAGTGAACGAAGAGGGCTATTAGCTGGCAAAAGAAGAGCTGCAACTCAAACAGAATGCTGGCCTGGACTGGCAGCTCAGGGATCTTGCAATGCTGTAGAGGCACGACAGTCTGGGTGGCCAGAGGGGGGCTGGACAGCCCTGTCCCAGAACTGCTCCTGGGGATAGGGAGGGAACAACATCAGGAGCTGACCTGAGATTCCTACCAGGAAGGGCTTCTGAGGCCCAGGATCGTGGGATGAGATCAGAAAGCAGCTCATGGCAAGGATGAAGTCCTCCTAATCCTGCTTGTCAGACAAACGAGCAAAGTCTTTTCCTATCCCTAATCTTATTTAAGTCTGCCAACACCCCTTAGGAGGGAAAGAATTATTATATTCATTTTACACATGAGGAAAAGGAAGCCCAGAAAGGGGAAGCAACTTGTCCAAGCCAACAGCAAAGACAGAACAGAACTGTAGTTGGAATCTAGGCCTTTGGGCTTATTCTACCATGTCCTACTGCATGTCCAAGTGACTACCTTTGACTGAACTCTCTCTGGGTTATTTATTTATTTATTTTTGAGACAGAGCCTCAAGCTGTCCCCCTGGGTAGAGTGCCATGGCTTCACAGCTCACAGCAACCTCCAACTCCTGGGCTTAAGTAAGTCTCCAGCCTCCGCCTTCCAAGTAGCTGGGACCACAGGCACCCGCCACAACGCTGGGCTATTTTTTGGTTGCAGCCATCATTATTGTTTGGCGGGCCTGGGCTGGATTCGAACCCACCACCTTAAGCGTATGTGGCTGGCACCTTAGCCACTTGAGCCACAGGCACTAAGCCTGGGTTATTCATTTATTTACTCATTCATTCATTCATTCTTTCCCTTTGGGTCTTTAAGGCAGTTTGCTTCCCTCTAAGCTTCTTACTTCCTTCTATGCCACATCCTAGAACCCAGTCGGGGAGAACTTTGTCCATACTGCCCACACAGTGAGGGGTGAGAGAGACAGAGAGGTAGTTTACCTGGTTCGGGAACGGACACTGGTCACTGATGCACTGGAAGTGTGGCCCCCACCAGCGCCCCCTGAGGATCCTGGCTCACAGAGTGGATTTCGACAGTAAGATGTCCTGTTGGGACCTCTTCGTCCTCCTGTGTGGCTCAATGTAAAATATATCCTCAAGCCAGGGGGCATATATCAAGGATAATAGCAATGATACAGGCTACCAGTTACCAGGTATCCCATTTTATCATTTAATTCTCACTACACCCCTGCCTACCTCTTCAACCTCCTCTACTACCATTTTCTGCCTCACTCCCCCCACGCAATGCTCTAGATATCTGGGCCTTTTTCTCCTCAGCAAGACAAGCTTCTGCCATCTCTTGCATTTGCTGTATTCTCTGTCTGGAGAGCTCTTCTCTGACCGCCATTTGTGAAGTAGCTGTCCCCATAACCCTGTCTTATTTCTATTTATTTTTCACAACAATTCACTCTCTGACATTATCTCATTCATTTATTAACATGCTTATTGTCTGGCTTACCTACTAGAAGGTCAGTGAGGTCAGTAACCTTATCTATCTTTTTCACTGCTGTATCCCCTACTCCTACCACAGAAAGTACGTGTGTATGTGTGTATAAAGCAAGTATATATATTTTTTGGGGGGACAGAGTCTTTTCACTGTGGGTAGAGTGTCATGGTGTCACAGCACATAGCAACCTCAAACTCTTGGGCTTAAGAAATTCCCTTGCCTCAGCCTCCCAAGTAGCTGGGACTACAGGCACCCACCACAATGCCCAGCTATTTTTGTTGTTGTTGTCGTTGTTTAGCAGGTTGGGGCTGGGTTTGAACCCGCCTGCCTTGTATGTGGCTGGTGCCCTACCTACTGAGCACAGGTGCTGAGCCCAAAAGCAAGTATATTTTGATGAGTGACTGAGCCCAGCAAGAGCAAGGTAGATTTTTCACAAATTAGGAAACTGAGCTTACATTGTGTCACAGACAGTACTGGGGCTGGGTCTTGTGCGCTTACACACTGGGGCCCATTTAGATATAAGTTTCTGGAGACTTATAATTTTGCATACCACTGAGGCAGCTTTTTCCACCAGGACCCCAAGATTCAGTTCAATGAGCATCTTGGTGTCTCATCGGCAGGACCTGAGGCCTGAGCACAGGATATATGGCTTAGAGAATGCTGTGGTTCTGGATCCATAAGCTGTCTCCCTAGCCTGAGCAGTCTAGTCCAAGATCCTATGTACCACCTTGCACAAAAGTCCTGCACAAAACTCCTAAGCACCTAACCAAAGTAACAATCTGTTCAGACCTCCTCCCAGCAACCCAGAAGCCTCCACTCAGCATACACCCCAGGCCCTAGCACCTCAGCTTAGAAGCATTTCCCACACATTTCCACAAAGTACCTGTCCAGACTGCCCCACACCAAGGGCTTTGTCCTCACCAAGCCCCCAGACCAGAAGCTCTCTTCATACACTATTATACTCGGCTTAGGAAAACCCCACACAAACACCCTCAGTCCGGAAGCTCTGCCCACATCCACTCTCCTCTCTTTAGACTCTAAGCACCCACATAAAGCCCCTCCGCCCAGAAGCCCCGCCCACACACAACTGTCAGCTCAGAAACTCCGCCCACAAGCCAAAGAAAACCCTCTGCCCTGAAGCCCCCACTCCAGAACAGGATTCCTCAGTCTGCAAAGTCTCCCCGCTCCCCTGCCTCCAGTATAAGCCCCTCCAGCCCAAAAAGCTTGCCCCCGCACAAGTGCCTCCGAAGCTCAGCCCTTAGCATGAGGGCAACGCCCACCAGTAAGTTCCGCCCCCATTTCTAGTCCCAAAGAGCAGGTCCTCACCAAAGCCCAAGCCCCTGCAGGCCTTCATTTTAGAAGCTCCGCCCACCACCCAATGTCACGCCCCCACAACAGAGGCCCCACCCCGCAAAAAGACAGGAGGGGGCGGGGTCCCGTCAGTGCCTGCATCCCCTCCCCCTCCGCTCGCTGGGATCTTGTCCGCGTGGGACGGCAATTAGCGGCTTGGCCCTCCTAACCCCCGCACCCGCTCGTTCCCAGGCCGAGCCTGACCCGTTCTGCTCACCCATCTCCTCCCCCCCGGCGCTCTCCGCTTCGCCGCCGCAGCTCCTGCGGGCAATATGTCGGAGGCGACGGCGGCCGGGAGAGGACTAACCGCCGCAGCCCTGTCCCCGGGTATCAACCGCGCGCTCCCGCCTCGCCGCTAAATTTGCATACAAGGCGGGCTGCAAGCTGGGAGCGCGCTTCTTAAAGGGGCTGCACTGACAAAGGCGGTGCCTGCGCACTCTTTGTGTTGCGGTCCCCCCACGCTCTCTCCCTGCAGCTGCTGCTGAAGAGACCCAAGAATGAGGACAGCTCATCTCCTGTACTTCCTGTGCAAACCTTCTCCCAGCATCTCTTCAGGCCCAGGTGGGGGCGGAGGAGCAGCGGAAACGCCTCTCTGTCCCCACCCTAGATGGACTGTGTCCACGAACGGCCTACAGCACCTCGAACTTTAGGTCTCTCAAACTGGGACTTCATCTTTCTCTTCCACTTCATTGTACTTTGGCCCACCCTAGTCACAACCTAGGAGTCACTTCTCCCTTTCCCTCGGCCGCCACATTCAATCCTTGCCCTAGTCTTGCTGACCCTAAATTCTAGATATTTGTCACATTTGACCTTTCTCTCCTTTCTCATTGCCAAGGCCTTGGTTCAAATCCTGACAGCCATTTCTGAGCCTTGAAATCATCCTTTTTCTTGTTGCTTTTTGTTTGTTATTTTAAGAGAGGAGTTTTGTCACATAGGCTGCAGTGCAGTGGCACATAGCTGGGATTGCAGGAGCACACCACCATTCCCGGTTTTTTCTTACTTTTTTTTGTTTGTTTGTTTTTGTTTTTTGCAGTTTTAGCTGGGGCTGGGCTTGAACCCGCCACCCTCGGTATGTGGGGCCAGTGCCCTACTCCTTGAGCCACAGGAGCGGCCCCTTTTTCTTAGTTTTTGTAAAGACAGGGTCTCTCTATGTAATCCAGGCTGGTATTTATTTTTCCTTTTTCTTTTCTTTCTTTTCTTTTCTTTTCTTTTCTTTTTTCTTTTTCTTTTTTTTTTTTTTTTTTGAGACAGAGCCTTACTCTCTCACCCTGGGTAGTGTGTCATGCTGTGGAGTCATAGCTCACAGCAACCTCAAACTCTTGGGCTCAAGTGATGCCCTTGCCTCACCCTCCCTCCCAGAGTAGCCGGGACTATAGGCACCCTCCACAACGTCCAGCTATTTTTAGAGAGGGGATATCACTCTTGCTCAGGTGGTCTCCAGCTCCTGAGCTCAAGCAATCCACTAGCCCGTGCCTCCCAGAGTGCTATGATTACAGGCATCAGCCACCTCTCCTACCTTTTTTTTTTTTTTTTAGATAAAGTCTCACTCTGTTGCCCTGGGTAGAGTGCCCTGGCATTATCATTGCTCACAGCAACCTCAAACTTTTGGGCTCAGGCGACCCTCTTGCCTCAGCCACCCAAGTGGCTGGAACTACAGACCCCTGCCATAAAGCCTGGCCAATTTTTCTATTTTTAGGAGAGACAGCGTATCACTCTTACTCAGGCTGGTCTTGAGCTCTTGACCTCAAACTATCATCCTGCCTTGGCCTCCCAAAGTGCTGGGATTACAGGTGTGAGCCATTCATAGTGCCTGGACTTTTACTCTTTTGGATGAGGCTGGGAATACTCACTTTACAAATCTTGAGAGGATTAAATAAGGAATGCAGAACAAAGTCTGTTTTAACCAGTTAGCCATCAATATGTTTGGCAAACATTAACACAAAGGAAGTAGTCAATAAATGAGATACCACTGGTAATTATTATTTCTTCCTTCACAAGACTTATGAGTTTTTTGGGGTTTTTTTTTTTTAGGTTTCAGATTAATATGAGGGTACAAACGATTGGGTCACATTGCTTGCATTTGTTAGGTGAAGTCCAGGTTGTAATGGAGCCCTTCACCCAGGAGGCATGCTGGGTACCCTTTAAGTGAGAGCTTACCCCTCCGCCCCTCTTCCTTTCTCCTCCCCTCCTCTCCCACTTGAGTTTGTGTTTTTCTGTTATGTGGGCATGTAGTTGCTCATCTACTAGTATCATATTAGTATTGAGTACATTGGATACTTGCTTTTCCATTCTTGTGATACTTTACTAAGGAGAATATTCTTCAACTCCATCCAGATAAATACAAAAGATGTAAAGTCTCCATCTTTTTATAGCTGAATTGTATTTCCATGGTATAGATATACCCCAGTTTATTTTTATTTTATTTTATTTTTTTGACACAGAGTCTCATCGGTAGCGTGCCGTGGCATCACAAGTCACAGCAACCTCAAACTCTCGGGTTTAAGTGATTCTCTTGCCTCAGCCTTCCAAGAAGCTGGGACTACAGGGCTATCTTTTTGTTGTAGTTGTCATTGTTGTTTGGCAGGCCTGGGCTGGGTTCGAACTCACCAGCTCCGGTGTATGTGGCTGGCACCCTACCCACTGAGCTATAGGTGCCGAGCCCATACCACAGTTTATTAATCCACTTGTGGGTTGATGGGCACTTGGGTTGATTCCTCACCTTAGCAATTGTGAATTAAACTGCAATTAACATTCTTGTGCAAATGTTCTTTTTTTTTTTTTTTCTTTTCTTTCCTGAGACAGAGCCTCAAGCTGTCCCCCTAGGTAGAGTGCCGTGGCACCACAGCTCACAGCAACCTCCAACTCCTGGGCTCAAGC